GAGCCGGTTTCGAAAATACATCTCTTGTATTGTGAAGATACTCATTCTCATTCATACCTTTCAATTCGTCGACATGAATACGGTTCAGAATATGACTAATTATATATATATAGTATAATAATATATATATATATATATTATATATATATATATATGTATTATATAATATATACTTATATATATATAATTTTATATACACCATACGTATATACGGTGTGTGTGGATGTAGACAATTATACTGTATATTGTAAAATATTTATATTGCCATATGTATATATATTTAGATAAATAGATCGATAGATAGATAAAGTGTTATATAATCATAATATATATATATATATATATATATATATATATATAATATAATTATATATATATGTGTGTGTGTGTGTGTGTGTGTGTGTGTGTGAGGTGTGTGTGTGTGTTTTTATGGTGTGTGTGTGTGTGTGTGTGTGTGTGTGTTATGTGTGTGTGTGTGTGTGTGTGTGTTTTTTTGTGTGGTGATGTGTGTGTGTGTGTGTTGTGTGCGTTGTTGCGGTGCGAGTGAGTGGTGCGTGGAGTGTGCAGTTGTGAGTGTGCATGTGTGTGTGTGTGTGTGTGTAGTGTAGTATGTATGTGATGTGTGATTTGTGGTGCGGTGTATGCGTGTGTGTGTGTGTGTGTGTGTGTGTGTGTGTGTATGTGTGTGGTGTTTGTGTGTGTGTGGCATACAATAATACTATACATAAATACATACACACCACACATACATATATAGATATATATATATATAATATATTATATAATATATATATATATATGTGTGCGTGTGTGGGTATTGTGTGTGGTTGTTGTGTGTGTGTGTGGTGTGTGGGTTGTGTGTGTGTGTGTGTGTGTGTGTGCGGTTGTGTTTGTCCGAGTGTGCGTTTTAGGGTGGGTAGTGCATAATACTACATTATACAGACATACCACACGCGCACATATATATATATATATATATATATATTTTTTTTTTTTTTTTTTTTTTTTTTTTTCACAGCCATCATTCCACTACAGGGAATAGGCTCTCTCAATTCAGTATTGAGGGTATATGGCAGGTCACCCTTGCCTGATTAAATGCCATTCCTAATCAACCGCGGTTCCCGGCGCTTTAAAATCACTTATGCCCACGGCGGTGACTTCCCCTACGACACCTGCGTTGACTTCTAAAGGCGATATGTCGTTTTCTCGGGCTCGAGCTAGGAGTCAGAGCGCCAGCCATTTTTACGGACTGCCGTGAGGGGAATTGAACCAGGGCACGAGGGTCGGAGTCACAGTGCATCTAACCACTGAAGCACTATCGCGGCCAAGTATAGATGTGTGTGTGGTAGTGTGTGTGTGTGTGTGTGTGTGTGGTGTGTGTGTGTGTGTGTGTGTGTGTTGTGTGTGTGGTGTGGTGTGGGGTGTGTGTGTGTGTGTGTGTGTGTGTGTGTGTGTGTGTTGTGTGTGTTTGTGCGGCGCGAGCGCGCGTGTGTATTGTGGTTGACAAATCTATACATGCATCCACACACCACACACACACAACCACACACACACACACACAAAATATATAGATATATATAGATATATATATATATATATATATAATACTGTGAGCCGTGTGTTGTGCTGTGTGTGTTTATAAGTATAAACACACACCACACACAAACACCACACACACACACACACACAACACACACACAAACACAAATATCTATATATGTAAATATAGATAGGTATCTAGATTATTAATAGAAAAAAAAAAAATATATTAATATAGATATAATATATATGTATATATAGATATAATATATTATATATAGATGATATATATATATATATATATATACACACCTATATATGGATAGATCATTTATATACACAGACCCAAACATACATACATAGAGACCACCCATCCCTAACTAGAAATTTGTAATTTGTTCAGGTGTCGAAAGTCATAGATTGTAATTGTCAAGTAAAAATGTCAAATATCTCAATGGGCGCCGCAGTTGCCAGAACAGTCTTTTCACGCGGGGAGCGAACGAGCGTAAGTCGGGGTCGAGGGAGCGTGGGTGAGCGGAAGGGGAGCCTGTGAAAAATAAATGACGAAATCATAATGCTTAATGCAGAGCGGGAAGAAGTAAAATATAATGTCGATAGCTTTATGAGGTAGCTAATGTGGATAGGAAACGTTATTGTATATATTTCATAGATTAGATAAAAAATTGTGTCCGGAATAGATAAGGAAGTTTAAAGTGATAAGCATGCAAGATAAATGGAAACAAACGAGACAGATGCTGAATTTAAAGGAGATAAGATTATTTAGAAAGAATAAATCTGACCAACAAAGCAGGTAATAAGACAAACGAAGATAAGCGAAGGGACGCATAAATAAAGCAACATAGAAAAAGAAAGAGAAGGGAGGAGCGTAAACGGAGAAGGATAATAATAATAATAATGCTAATAATAATAATAACAATAATATAATAAATATATAATAATAATACTAATAATAATAATATAATAATAATCATCCTAATAATAATAATACTAACAATAAGAATAATAATAATAATAATAATAATTTATAATAATAATAATAATAATAACCATAAGAATAATAATAATAATAATAATAATAATAATCACAATAATAATAAATAATAATAATAATAATAATAATAATAATAATAATAATATAATAATAAATAATAATAATAATAACAACAACAATAATATAACAATAATAATGATAATATAATAATAAATAATAATAATAAATAATAATAATAACACAACAATAATGTAATGAAAATAATAATAACAAAAAAAAACATAATAGTAATAAATAATAATGGTTAGATAATGATGATATCAATGATAATAATAAATTAAACAGATAATAATAATAAGTGATGATAATAATGATAATAACATAAGAAAAGAAGAACGGAAAAACGGGGGACGAGGAGGATCTATGAAAATAAATCAGAATAAAAATAGGAATACAAGATGGGAAGAAAAATGGGGAGGAGGAAGAGGAGGAGAAAGAGAGAACTGAAAATGAGGAATAGAATAAGAGTAAGAATGGAGGAGAAGAAGAGGAAGAGGAAGGAAAGAGGGAAGAGAAGGAGGAAGGAAGAGGAGGGGGATAGGGAGGGAGCGGAGATGAGGCGGTGAAGGAGGAGGAGAAAGCGGGGGAGGACGGAAGACGGGGGGGGGTGAGCAAAAGGAGGAGGAAAAGGAGGAAGAGGAGAAGAGGAAGAGGAGAGGGAGAAGGAATGAAGAGGAACGGGAGGAGAGGGAAGAGGAGGAGGGAAGGACGAGGAAGAGGAAGATGATGATGAGGAGGAAGAGGAGGAGGAGAGGATTAGGATGAGGAGAAGGGGAGGGGGGGGAGGGGAGGGGGAGGGAGGAGAGGAGGAGGAGGAGGAGAGGAGGAGGAGGATGGGGAGGAGGAGGAGGAGGAGGAGGAGGAGGAGGAAGAGGAGGAGGAGAGGAGGAGGAGGAGGAGGAGGAGGAGGAGGAGGAGGAGGAGAAGTAGAAGGAGAAAGAGAAGAAGAAGAAGAAGAAGAAGAAGAAGGAGGAGGAGGAGGAAGAGGAGGAGGAGGAGGAAGGGGTTGAGGAGGAGGAAGAGGAAGAGGAGGAGGAGGAGGAGAAGAAGAAGGAAAAAAAAGAAGAGGAAGAATGTATTTGACCGGTTCGAGTATATCCCTAGCAAAGTTATAATTTCCGAAACCGGTATTGGTGAAAATATCATTCTCTTCAACCTTTATACATTGTAATAAAATATATGAACGTATCACATATGTATGTACGTATGCATACAAAGTGTTAAGATCCCGCTTACTCTTCAGCCGGTACTAAAAAGGTATGAATGAAAATGAATTAGTCAAGGTTCGCTATCTGGAGCTTCGATTTTGCATAAAATCCCATTGTAAAATGAAACCACAAAACAGCACATCTTGGCATCGTTGAAATTTCCTTGACTTTAAGGATTGCTTGATTTGCACGCTGTTTACGTCCTGCGATATTTGCGATACACAATTTTTTGAATTTAAAAAAAATATTACACGCAGCCTTTTCACCTCTTAAACCATCGCATCTTCGCCCAGTCACGTTGGGTGTGAACTGGACTTTAGGGTCTATGTTTTTTGCATGTTTTTGTCCCTAATCATATGTAAAAAGCTCATCTCAGTATGTAACACCGGTTCCCTAGCAGATTCAGAAACTCAGGAGATTATGTGTTGGCAAACGCTGGAGAAAATCAGGCAAAATTGCTTTGGTCTCTACTACTAATCCCCACCCCATTTT